AAATGGTATACTTCTGGTAATAAAATCTAATTACTTTTGTCTATGATCTCCCTTCTTTTTGTTCATTTTTGTGTTCATATTGTTGTCAACTAAAATAGGAAGGCATGTTTTTAAATGTCTGTTTTAAATGGGAATAAAACATAGTGCCTTAAGCAGTCTCTGTTGTTCCATAGAGGGTTTCATATGAATAGTTCAGAGTGCATTATGTGAATTCTGGCTTCTTGATGAGTATAGTTTCCTCTCCCATATAAATTCTTTAAGTAGGGAGTCTTGTAATATCTTGCCGATTTTAATTCTGCAGTCTTTCACTATGTTGGCAGCTGTGTTCAGTAGTGGAAGTTTTTTTTTTTTTGAGGGGGTTGTTCATGGTCTAAATCTTGCAGTGAAATATTCAGCTGTCAGAGCTCATCTTTTATCCAACAACTGAAGATGTTGAAAAAGGTATTTGCAACTGCATCTTTGAAACTTTGATGTAGCCAGCTAGTGACTGGAAGCCAGAGGGCAATGCTGCCCTCCCCCCTTCTCTCCCAATCTTTCTCTGGGTTTTCTTTTCCAGAAATGTTGCTGTCCTGCCAAATTCCCAAACTGATTTGTAGACTCTGAGGAGTTTTAAAAACATGGAGAGCTGGGGGATTTACAGAACAGAGAATATAAATTAGTTTTTAACATTTAGAGTTGGTTTTAAATGTTTTTAAAGAATCAAGAATATTAAGTATTGCTTAAAAGTAACTTGTTTATCAAATTTTTGAATATAATATAAATGTCTGTATTAACATCTGCACTCATAGACTCCAGACTCCTAAAACCGAATCCATAATCTTCTATTAAACACATTGTAATACCCTAGAGGTTGCCGATCTTTTCCTTAGTGAGAGCTACTTCTGAATAATGAAAAATATCCCAAGCTACTCCCTCACCCCACCCTAGTACATTACTAAGTTGTGTTCTGTCTTAGAAACAGAACATGGACTGGGCAGAACACCAGAAATGAAGGTGTTGTCACGAACGTGGTGCTAGGCCAGGCAAGAACAAGAGAGTCCAAAGGCAGTCCAAAGTCAAAACCGGGTAAACAGCAATATCGAGAGACCAAGTCCAAATCACCAACTGGTAGAGTAGTCGTTAAAGCCAGAGTCCAAAAAAGTCAGAAGCCAGAGAGTCAGAGGTCCGAGGTGTAGGTCAGGAGCGGTGTCGTACAAGCCAAGATCAGGAGCCAAAAAGTCAAGATGTCCTCAGGAACTGGAACACGGGTGGTGAGGTGAAGAGTTTTGTCCAAAATGACTCGTTGCTAGCACAACTAGTCGGAGTGGGTGCGAGAGCTAAATAGCCCGTCAGGCTTTTGGCAATTAGCGTGACCTGATTGTGTCACTCAGGGCTAAAAGAGCACCTACTGTGCATGTGCGCATCCTGCCGCTGGGATGCCATGTCCCGTTGGCATTGTTCCCGCAGACGGGATACCGGTGGGGGCGAGTCAGGGGGCGTGTTGCTCTGGCGTGAGTCTGCTTCAGCTGCTGCTGGAGCAGTTTCCGTGGCTTCAGGTGCTGGGTTGTCAAGAGCCGGGAGCTCATCCCCAGCAGTACTTAGGTCTTCTGCTGGGGCCAAATGCTCATCCCCAGCAGTCCTTTGATCTTCTGCTGGAGCCCAAGTGCTCGGGTTAAGCAGCAGCCATGACAGGTGTCAGCTAAACAGCAAAGTGAAAAATCCTATAAAAGATTTTTTAAATTATTTTTTTAATCCCCTGCGAGCAGGGTAGCTTTATTATTATTTTTTGTTACAACTATACACTACAGAAAAGAAAAAGGGAAGGAAAAAGTTACCCCAGGATAAAGGACAGAAAATAAAAAACCCACACTATAACTAAAATCCCAAGAGAGAGGGTTGTTAACGGTTAGTATTCTGTTAGTATTCAAAATTAAAGTTTTTCGTTTAAGTCAATGTAATCAGAAATTAGTAAGTCCATGTTAGTATCTTCTCCATCATCTTCTATGTGTGCAAAGAGTTCTTTCATCTTCATCTCTGTTTGCAAATTTCAAATCTCCAAACAGTTACTTTGGTCCTCTAAGCCGCAAATCATATGTCGCTTTGGCCTCGCCACCTGTTGCTCCTTGGTCGTCGTCCCTGTCTTCTATGGTGACTGCTTTGCCTCCTCCTCCTCCTTGCTGTTCTTCCTCCTTCGATCCAAAAAACCGCTTCAACCATTCTTCTGCTTTAAAAACCGAGTCGATTTTTCCCCTTTTGTCTTTGTATTTAAACATGACACCCTCTGGGAAATTCCAGGAATACGGAATTTGGTTGATCTGCAATGTGGAAATCAGCTCTTTGTAGGCTTTTCTCTATAAAAGATTTTTTTTAAAGCCTAGTGTAGATGTTTTTGTGATCTTTTTCAGGGTCTTCTAGCTAATCTGCCACAGCCAGCCAGCTAGTGGTAGCTCATGAATTACATGACAGAGGTGGAAAGTGCTGTCAAGTCACAGTTTACTTATGGTGACCACATAGGGTTTTCAAGGCAAGAGGTGTTCAGAGGTGGTTTGCCATTGCCTGCCTTAGCGTCATGACCCTGGTATTCCTTGGAGGTCTCCCATCTGAATTCTAGCCATGGCCAACCCTGCTTAACTTCTGAGATCTGACGAGACTGGGCTAGCCTGGGCCATCCAGGTCAGGGCACATGTTGGAGACCCCAGTTATAACATGTCTTTCTAAGTAAAAGAACAAACCCAGAGCCATAATTTGGCTTTTGAGGTTTACCATCATAATCCATTAGGTTATAT